CTTAAATGACCGCAGCGACTTCCAGGATGCAGTGCGGCTCCTCTTCAGCATGGGGCTCGCCCCAGCGTCGCTTGCACCCGTTCTTCACAGGCGAGCAGCTTCAAGGATGGGAGAGGGGGGGCCCCGCAGGCTCGCCACGAGCACACGCGTGGAGAACCGCTCCTCCACCCAGCGGCGGCTTCGCCTCCGACTCCCTGAACTTGCGGAGCGGGCGCTCGAGAACCCGTGAGAAAGCTGCACGGGCCGAGGGCGGCTCCTTCTCCCCACACGGTGCTCGCGCTCTGAGACTTCTTCGAGGCCAGCGACCAGAAGCGTGAGACTGTGCACCAGCTGCACGAACCGGGGGGCGCTCCGTTTTGTTTTCTGAGTTGTTTCTCAAAACGGGGATGCCGCTGGGCACCTCGGCAGAAAAACTGCATGAGCTCCGGTTGTCCCCAAGGCGCCCCAATGAACACGACGCCGACACCACGGCAAACCCACGGCAAGCCCTGAGCCCCGTGCCCCCAGGTAGACGACGCCGGCACCGCGACAACCCCCACGGCGAACCCGAAGCGTCCGAGGCGGTGATCGCCCTGGTGCACGCGTCGCCCTCCTCAAGACGTCATTAAGGCCGCGCGTCGGAGCAAACGGCGCGGCGACACATGCTTTGTCTCAGTCCTTCCTCTTCGCTACCAGGGTGCAGAGCTGTCCCTGTTGTAAACGTGGCTCGCGCCTGATTGGCTCAAGAGGAGGGATCGTGCAACCCTCCTGGAGACAGACTTGACGGATCGACTCAGCAAATGGCCGACTCAGAGGTGTCCTGCGGCTTCGGCATCCTGGGAAGCGAACCGCGACAACAGGCGGGCGGCCACACCACGGCGGGGCTTTCCGATATACCCTGTGCGCCGCCCTGAAGGCCCTGCTCCGCGAGGAGATGGACCTGGTCACGCTGAGGCAGGAACAGAACCTGCGAGCGCTGCTGCTCGCGAAGGACAGGCGCCTCCGCCCGGCAATGCTGCGGGGGATGGCGGCGGCGGCCACGGCCAGGGCCAGGGCGGCGACAAGCGGCGAAATCAGCGATCGGCGATTCATAGATGGGGTCCTGAGGGATGGAGTCCTAAGGACGAGGTGCTTCAAACAACCGAACTCCACCCTCGGATCCATTCCTCTCCCCAGGACCCCATCCCTCAGGAACCCACCTTTGCACCACCGAAGCTGCGCGACGGCGCCGCGGTCGCCGAAGCACCTGACGTAGCCCGCGACTCAGGCCGCAGGCGGTGGCGCGCTGAGCCACGCGGCGGACCGCGCGTCGCCCGCGCCTGGCCAGCGCTCTCGGCGCCCGGGGCCTGCAGGCTCGCCTTGAGGGGGCGCCCGGGGGCGATCAGAGCCACCCGAGCCCGTTCGGCCTCCCGCGCCTCGCAGAATGGCGAGCGCCGCGGCCACGGCCCCGACGCGCCGCGCGACGAACGCGCTCCTCCGAGGGCATGCGAGGCCCGCCCTCCGTGGACGAGGGAGCGCCCGCGAACCCGTCGGCGCGGAGCGCAGGCCGCACGGGTCGTGAGCTGACCCGGGTCGTGCGCCTGAGCTTCCGCTCCCCGGTCTGGCGGTCTGGACGGGAGGCGCCACGTGAGGTTTTTTTCCATGGTTGCTCGCTTTGTTTCCCTGATGTGTCTCTTCGTCCCTTTTCCCGTCAGCTCTCATGGGCAGGCTTCTGAATGGGCTGGTGGGGATACGCGAAGCGTAGCGTCACGGATTGAGGGCGGGTGGTTTTCAAAAATTGGCTTTCGTATTAGCATCGCGCGCATTCGTTTTGCCCTTCACCTTCTCCTCCACCTCCTCCTCTACTCCCTCCTCCTCCTCCTCCTCCTCCTTCCCCTCCTCCTCCTCCTCCTCCTCCTCCTCCTCCTCCTCCTCCTCCTCCTCCAGCTCCTCCTGCACCGCCTCCAGCTCCTCCTCCCTCCGTCGTCCTCCCTGGCGTCGCAGCGGCCCTTTCACCGCGCATCGCGCGCACCAGCCGACCGCCGCCTACGCCCCCGCGCGCTCTGCAGGGCGCTGGCTACTGGCGGCCGCCCCCTCTGCGGCGAGCGGCTTCCCTTCAGGGAGGCGGCGCGGGCGCACGACTGTAGGCGGGAGCCTCTCGGGGCGCCCGTGGCGTCGCACCGGCACACTGTGCGGTCAAAGTGTGGCCAGGAGCGGCCGCGCGCGAGCGGGGCACTCCTCCACTTCCTACCCCTCCTCCTCCTCCTCCTCCTCCTCCTCCTCCTCCTCCTTCTCAGCCTCCTCCTCCTCCTCCTTCTCCTTCTCCTTCTCCTCCTCCTCTCCTCCTCCTCCTCCTCCTCCTCCTTCTCCTTCTCCACCTCCTCCTCCTCCTTCTCCGCCTCCTCCTCCCCCTCCTCCTCCTCCTCCTTCCTCCTCCTCCCCTCCTCCTCCTCCTCCTCCTCCTCCTCCTCCTCCTCCTCCCCCTCCTCCCCCTCCCCTCCCCCTCCTCCTCCTCCTCCTCCTCCTCCTCCTCCTCCTCCTCCTCCTCCTCTTCCTCCTCCACCTCCTCCACCTCCTCCTCCTGCTGCTCCTCCTCCTCCTCGTCCTCCTCCCCCTTCTCCTCTTCCTCATTCTCCTCCTCCACTCCTTCGCCTTATCAACAACTTCTCCCTGACGCACCCCGAGGCCAGTTTTTAGGGCGGACCGGGCGCTTCGCCTGAGACATCCTCACCTCTCATGACTCTGAAGCTTAGTAGACTGGCAACAGCTTCACATATGGAGGTCGGGTGGTTTTCAACATGTGACTCTCGCATTAGCGCCGCGCACATTCGTGTTGAAAATTTGCAGGAGCTTCACGGAATGAGTGCGAGTCGTTTTCAACATGTGGCTCTGGCCTGAGCGCCGCGCATATTCGCTTTAAAAATTTGCCAGAGTTTCACGGATTGAGGGCAAGTCGTTTTCAAAATATGACTCTCGTCTTAGCGACGTGCACACGCACACTCGTAAACAAATTACAAGAGTCTCACGGATTGAAGGCGGTGCCATTTCAACATATGGCTCTCGCCTTAGCTCCGAGCGCATTCTTTTAAACATATGGAAGAGTTTCGCATATTCCCATGATCAACATACCAGAATCTGTGTGTTGGAAAGATTCTGGATTATGAGAATGTACAAATTATGCTAAACGCAAAAGACAAGTTGATCCTCGGCGTTGATATCCCGAGAACAATGTCTTGGCATGCTTCAGGGTCGTCAAACAGTTGTCTTCAAACGAGGCAGCTCCCTCAGTAAAAATGAACCGTTGTAGGGGCCTATGAAAGAGAGAGCTTGGAGGGATGGTGTACTCCAACATCATTGATGCCTCTTGGGTTCACACTGGTCCGCTTCCTCCTCCTGCTCCTCCTCCTGCTCCTCCTCCCTCGCAGCTCCGAAGGGAGGTTTTTGGCCACTTTCAGCCTCTGGGAGCTCTCGCCGGGCCCCGTGACCACCAGAAAAAAAACGGTCCGCGGGGAAAAGGTCTGGACATCTGGGAATCCGTATTGAAAAAATCAAGACATCGCATGTCTGGGAACAGTCACCTCTTATTCGTTGGCCAGCTGGGGGGGGGAAGTGAGGAATGAGAGGGGGCGGGCCTTCTCAGAAGGCTTGGAAGTCCCACGGCCTTCGGACAAATGTTCCAAGCCTTCCCCGAAGGCACAAGAAACGCCTGAGAAGGCCCGAGGGCTTCTGAGAAGCCCCTGACCCAAAGCCCCTCCGCCTTCTGAGAAGGCCTGATCCTTCTCACTTCCTTCCCAGGCGCGCCGCCGATCTTTGGTGCGCGGCTTGCGGGCCGCTGCATGCGATGCGAAAGCGGCTGCCTGCATGCTTGGGCTTGCTCCCCCCGCGCATAAACGGAGGCACCACACCACAAGGCCACGCCGGCGAAGGGTCGACTCATACGTGCAGCCGGCATAAGGAAGCTTTGACAAGGACCGAGGCCCACCTCGGGGCTCCCCTGCGACGAGATGCACGAGGGGCGCTGGTGGTGCGGTGCTGTTCCTCCATGTCGGCCTCAGGAGGCCCGTCTCGTTTCCAAGGGCCGCCAGAACACGATCCACGACGAAAGGTGATCCCCAGGAAGGTGTGAGACAAAATTACGACCCCAGAGGTCTGGGCCCCGGTTCTGTTGATGGTGGTATCAAGCCACCAAGAAGGCCTGGCCATTACCACCAGCGCTGGCTTGCGTGGGTGCCATCTTCACAGGCCCCCGCGAGATCACCAGGAGGAGAAGCCGCAGCAAGGTCCTGCCAGTCGGCTTGGCTGAGGCCTCTGGTCTCTGCAACCGCCGCGTGAGCCGTCCCGCCTTGGACGATCTCCACCGCCGGTGGGCCCCTGGAGAGGCTGCCGGGGGCCGTCAGCCTTGCGCGCCCGCGTCTGCGCTGCCGCCTTCCCGCGATGGCACGAACCTGTTTCGCCCACCACCCGAAGGGGCCCTCGAGACCAGGAACGAAGAGGCCGTGCTCACAGGCTCCTCCTCCTCCTCCTCCTCCTCCTCCTCCTCCTCCTCCTCCGCCTCATGCTCCTCCTCCTCCTCCTCCTCCTCACCCTCCGCGGCGTCCTCACCCTCCGCGCTCGCCCTGTCCAGGGCGGCAGGGCAGTTCTGCACAGGCAGCCCCCTGGAGGCAGCCCCGGCGTGCCTCGGCAGGCCTCGGCCCAGCGCGGCGCCCTTGGGGCGATGCGTTCCGAGGGGGGGGGGGCTGAGACCGCGCTGGCCCGCCCAAGCGAGCTGCGGGGGGGTGCCGCGGGGCTGCCTCTGAGAACTGCCTGTCTGCAGCCTCTGCGCCCCGCCATCCACCACGAGGTCTCGACGCAGGCCCCGTCTGCTCCCACGGGTGGCCCCCTCTGGACACGGGCTCCTGGGCCGGGCCAGGGAAGCATCATCCACCAAGGTCACGGCCCGCCTGTGGAGGCTGGGTGGTGGTGGTGGTGGTGGTGGTGGTGGTGGTGGTGGTGGTGGTGGTGGTGGTGGTGGTGGTGGCGGTGGTGGTGGTAGTGGTGGTGGTGGCGGCGGTGGTGGTGTTTGTGGTGGGCACCTTCCCTCTACCTGGTCGCACACAGATCCGCTCGAGCAGGCTGCTAATCCTCCTCAGAGCTGTCCTGGGCGCGGGCGCGTCCCGTCCCCCGACACATGCGTCCTCCCGTGCTCCCGTGCTCCCTGCTCAGATGTTCCTCTTTTCCTTCCCTGCCGTCCTCCCCTCCCTAGTGTGAGCAAACGATCCGGATACAATTGGGGCGAGACGATTCAAATTACGCTGGCGACGTGCCCAACCCTTGCGCAATGCGGGGCAGGAGTAGATTGAGAGATTTGACGAGAAGGCGGCGACGTGACATGGACGCATCTACTTCTGCGAGCGGCATTCGGAAGGTTCGCAGGCCCCCAATCAAGGGAAAAACGATGAGTAATTAAGAGAACCCCTGAGTCACTGAGGAAACCGCAAGGTCTAAAAGGAGACGGTGGGCAAGGGGCGGCGGGCCAGCAACAACATGACATGGCCCCCCAGGGACGGCGAGGCCCCGCTCAGGAATGCGCAGTGCCTCACTCCGATGGACCCACCAGCAGCCTTCGAAAGTGGCGAGCCCACCAGCAGCACTCGAAAGTGGCAACAATTTCGCAGATCGCAGCAACCCCAGGGACGGGGAGCCTCACTCCGCTAGACCCACCAGCAACCCTCGCAGGTGGCGACAGTTTCGCAGATCGCAGCCCCCCAGGAACGGGGAGGTCCCGCTCAGATCCGCGCGGTGCCTCACTCCGCTGGACCCACCAGCAGCCCTCGAAAGTGGCGACAATTTCGCAGATCGCAGCCCCCCAGGGACGGGGAGGTCCCGCGCAGATCCGCGCGGTGCCTCACTCCGCTGGACCCACCAGCAGCCCTCGAAAGTGGCGACTACTTCGCAGATCGCAGCAACCCCAGGGACGGGGAGCCTCACTCCGCTGGACCCACCAGCAACCCTCGCAGGTGGCGACAATTTCGCAGATCGCAGCCCCCCAGGGACGGGGAGGTCCCGCTCAGATCTGCGCGGTGCCTCACTCCGCTGGACCCACCAGCAGCCCTCGAAAGTGGCGACAATTGCCCCCCGGGGATGGGGAGGTCCTGCTCAGATCCGCGTGGTGCCTCAGCCCGCTGGACCCACCAGCAGCCCTCGAAAGTGGCGAGCCCACCAGCAGCCCTCGAAGGTGGCGACAGATTCGCAGATCGCAGCAACCCCAGGGACGGGGAGCCTCACTCCGCTGGACCCACCAGCAACCCTCGCAGGTGGCGACAATTTCGCAGATCGCAGCCCCCAGGGACGGGGAGGTCCCGCTCAGATCTGCGCGGTGTCTCACTCCGCTGGACCCACCAGCAGCCCTCGAAAGTGGCGACAATTTCGCAGATCGCAGCCCCCCCAGGGACGGGGAGGTCACGCTCAGATCCGCGTGGTGCTTCACAGTCCGCTGGACCCACCAGCAGCCCTCGAAAATGGCGACAATTTCGAAAATCACAGCCCCCCAAGGACGGGGAGGTACCGCTCAGATCCGCGCGGTGCCTCACTCCGTTGGACCCACCAGCAGCCCTCGAAAGTGGCAAGAATTTCGCAGATCGCAGCCCCCATCGGGACGGGGAGGTCACGCTCGGATCCGCGCGCGGTGCCTCACTCCGCTGGACCCACCAGCAGCGTTCGAAAGTGGCGACAGTTTCGCAGATCCCAGCCCCCCCATGGGATGGGGAGGTCCCGCTCAGATCCGCGTGGTGCCTCAGTCCACTGGACCCACCAGCAGCCCTCGAAAGTGGCGAGCGACAGTTTCGCAAATCGCAGCCTCCCCCGGGACGGAGAGGTCCCGCTCAGATCCGCGCGGTGCCTCACTCCGCTGGACCCACCAGCAGCCCTCGACAGTGGCGGCAGTTTCGCAGATCGCAGCCCCCCAGGTAGGGCAAGAGTAGACAAGAAAGAGGGGGGGCGGGAGGGGGAAGGCAGGAGGCGCGAGGAGGACGCGCGAGCAGTGCTCTATTCAAAACGAGTACCCAACCAAGGAGGGTTGTGAAAAATACTTTCGCGGGCCTGGGCGCCCCCACAAAGAGGGGAATAGGGAGCTCGACCCACGGCCGTGCGACAATTCGGGTTGACCCCCGGGCGGTCTGGAAGGCCAGGGGGGGCCCAAGGGCTGACAAGTCGGAGCGGGGGGTTGGCGATCCAGACCGGTTTAAAAGGCCCCCCAGGCGATTGGCCTTCCCGGGGCGCTCCCAGGGCGCTCCCAGGGCGCCTGGTTGCGCTCATGCAAGAAGACCAACGGGCTCGATCGACGGAGGAAGGCTCGCCATTCGGTCTGCGACTCGTCGTCATCGCAGTCGCCGTCATCGCAGTCGCCGTCGTCGTCGTCGTCCTCGTGGTAAGAGTAGTAGGGGTAGTAGCAGTAGTAGTAGTAGTAATAGTAGTAGTAGTAGTAGTAGTAGTAGTAGTAGTCGCAGTAGTAGTAGTAGTAGTCGTCGTCGTCGTCGTCGTCGTCGTCGTCGCAGTAGTAGTCGTAGTAGTAGTAGTAGTAGTAGTAGTAGTAGTAGTAGTAGTAGTAGTAGTAGTAGTAGTAGTAGTAGTAGTAGTAGTAGTAGTAGTAGTAGTAGTAGTAGTAGTAGTAGTAGTAGTAGTAGTAGTAGTAGTAGTAGTAGTAGTAGTAGTAGTAGTAGTAGTAGTAGTAGTAGTAGTAGTAGTAGTAGTAGTAGTAGTAGTAGTGTAGTAGTAGTAGTAGTAGTAGTAGTAGTAGTAGTAGTAGTAGTAGTAGTAGTAGTAGTAATAATAGTAGTAGTAGTAGTAATAGTAGTAGTGGTAATAATAGTAGTAGTAGTAGTGATAAAAGTAGTAGTAGTAGTAGTAGTAGTAGTAGTAGTAGTCGTAGCAGTCGTAGTAGTAGTAGTAGTAGTAGTAGTAGTAGTAGTAGTAGTAGTCATAGTAGTAGTAATTGTCGTAGTAGTAGTAGCAGTCGTAGTAGTAGTAGTAGTAGTAGTAGTAGTAGTAGTCGTGGTAGTAGTAGGAATAGTAATAGTAGTAGTAGTAGAAGTAGTAGTAGTAGTAGAAGCAGCAGTAGTCGACGTAGTAGTAGTAGTAGTAGTAGTAGTAGTAGTAGAAGTAGTAGTAGAAGTAGTAGTAGTAGTAGTAGTAGTAGTGGTAGTAGTAGTAGTAGTCGTAGCAGGAGTAGTAGTAGTAGTAGTAGTAGTAGCAGTAGTAGTAGTAGTGGTAGTCGTAGTAGTAGTACTAAAAGTAGTACTAGTAGTAGTAGCAGCAGTAGCAGTAGGAGTAGCAGTAGAAATAGTAGCAGTAGTAGTAGTAGTAGTTGTTGTAGTGGTAGTAGTAGTAGTAGTAGTAGCCGTAGTAGTAGTAGCAGTAGTAGTAGTAGTAGAAGCAGTAGTAGTAGTAGAAGTAGTAATAAAAGTAGAAGAATATGCAGTAGTGGTAATATGAATAGTAGTAGTAGTCGTACTAGTAGTACTAGTAGTAGCAGCAGTAGCAGTAGGAGTAGTAGTAGTAGTAGTAGTAGCAGTAGTAGTAGAAGTAGTAGAAGTAGTAGTAGTCGTAGTAGTAGTAGACGTAGTCGTAGTAGTAGTAGTAGTAGTAGTAGTAGTAGTAGTAGTAGTCGTAGCAGTCGAAGTAGTAGTAGAGTAGTAGCAGTAGGAGTAGTAGTAGTAGCAGTAGTAGTAGTAGTAGTAGTTGTGGTAGTAGTGGTAGTCGTAGTAGTAGTAGTAATAGTAGTAGTAGTAGTAGTAGTAGTAGTAGTAGTAGTAGTAGTTAGTGGTAGTCGTAGTAGTAGTAGTAGTAGTAGTAGTTGTGCAGTGGTAGCAGCAGTAGTAGTAGCAGTAATAGAAGGACTAGTAGTAGTAGTAGTAGTAGTAGTAGTAGTAGTAGTGGTAGTAGTAGTAGTAGTAGCAGTACTACTACTACTACTACTGGAACTAGCAGTCGAAGTAGTAATATTAGTAGTAGCAGCAGTAGCAGTAGGGGCAGCAACATTAGTAGTAGCCGTAGCAGTAGCAGTAGTAGTAGTAGCAGTAGTAGCAGTAGTAGTAGTAGTAGTCGTAGTAGTAGTAGTAGTAGTAGTGGTAGTAGTAGTAGTGGTAGCAGTAGTAGTAGCAGTAGTAGAAGTAGTAGTAGAAGTAGTAGTAGTAGTAGTGCTAGTAGAAGAGGACGTGCTAGTAGAAGTAGTAGTAGTACTGGCAGTAGTAGCAGCAGTAGTAGTAGAAGTAGTAGTAGTAGTAGTCGTAGTAGTCAAGGTAGTAGTAGTAGTAGTAGTAGCATTCGTAGTAGTAGTTGTACTAGCAGTAGTAGTAGTAGTAGTAGTAGTAGTAGTAGTAGTAGTAGTAGGCGTAGTAGTAGTAGTAGTAGTAGTCGTAGTAGTAGTCGTAGCAGTCGTAGTAGTAGTAGTAGTAGCAGTAGTAGTAGTAGTAGTAGTAGTAGCAGTAGTAGTAGTAGTAGTCGTAATCGTAGTGGTAGTGGTAGTAGTAGCAGTCGTAGCAGTAGTGGTAGTAGTAGTAGTAGTAGCAGTAGTAGTAGTAGTAGTAGTAGTAGTAGTAGCCGTAGTAGCTGTAGTAGTAGTCGTAGTAGAAGCAGTAGTAGTAGAAGAAGTAGTAATAGTAGTAGTAGTAGAAGTAGAAGCAGCAGTAGTACTAGTAGTAGAAGTAGTAGTGCGAGTAGTAGTAGTAGCAGCAGTAGCAGTATGAGTAGCAGTAGTAGCAGTCGCAGTAGCAGTGGCAGTAGTAGTATTAGTAGTAGTAGCAGTAGTAGTAGTAGTAGTAGCAGAAGAGGAGGTACTAGTAGACGTAGTAGTAGTAGTACTGGCAGTAGTAGTAGTGGTAATCGTAGTAGTAGTAATAGTCATCGTAGTAGTAGTAGTAGTAGTAGTAGCAGTAGTAGTAGTAGTAGAAGTGGTAGTCGTCGTCGTAGTGGTAGTAGTAGTAATAATAATAGGATTAGTAGTAGTAGTAGTAGTAGTAGTAGTAGTAGTAGTAGTCGTCGCAGCAGCAGCAGTAGTAGTAGTAGTAGCAGGAGTAGTAGTAGTAGTAGTAACAGTAGTAGTAGTAGTAGTAGTAGTATTACGAGTAATCGTAGTACGGGTAGTAGTAGTAGTAGTAGTA